TTGCAGAATGCGGTTAGACAACGTCTAGAGCGGAAGGTCGTTGAGAGATCCATTCGATTCTCCTCGAAAGCTATGTACTGTAGCATAAGAGGGAAGCTGATCTAAAATGTATCTACTTATACAGCTACTACCTTGTCTTATCAAAAGCGGGTAGCTGTTACACAGCTAGTAGAGCTAACGCTTAAAGGCTTTTGAGCGTTCATCTATATTCATAACACACTAGAAGAAGATCGATTTGAAAAGAGAAAATGAAAAACAGGAAGAAAGAAATTCAGAAAATCATCATAAAAAATTCGTTGGAGCATAAAGGATTTGAGAATGGTTTTATGCTCTCCCATGTAACTGGTCGATCAAGCATCGTTATGTCATGAATATATAGTGCAAAATCTCGCATATCAATAGGTCGAAACGATCTACTACGTCCTCGACGACTCTGTGTAGATTCTGAATGTCTCATTAAAATAGGCTCGATTTCGAATTTGAGCTGATAAATCAACAGAAAAATGCTCAAATAAGTTAATTTGCTATGTGAATTAAATTGCCTGTCCTTTCTTGGAAGGAAAGACATGTTCAAACACCAACATCCTTGACTCTATAATAGTGTTTCCATTTATCATTCAGGAATATTGTCGATTTATAGTCACGAAACGAGTATCGCACTACTATTACTAGCATAACAATAACCAACACAAGTTTCCCTATTTGTTTTTTTGGTCAAATCTTAGTCTTTTTAGGGAATAGGAACTTCCATTTGCCAAAACCTCCACCTTTTAAGTATTTGTGGAAGGATGGTCGACCTTTCACAATTATTAAGGAGTGTGTTGTTTCTTGTGGGGTATTCTATAGACATAATTAGCAGCACAATTTCTTCCCACCCACCGTTCTGTGGTAAGCCTGAACTTAGTAATCATAGGCATCATCATTTCTTTGTGAGTTTCTATTCTTCCTTTAGTTCCATTTTGCTGTGGAGATAAAGGGGCTGTAGTTTGGTGAATATGCATGTGTGCCAAAATTATTTAATGGTGGCATTATATTACCCACCTTCTATCACTTCTACATTTTTAATGGTGTTACAAAGTTGAATTTTCAACTTCTGTTTTGTAGAGTTTAAAACACATTATGTCTAAGGCTTCATCTTTACTTCTAAGTAAATAACATACCCAATTTTGTGCAATCATCGATAAGTGTTATGAATACTTTTTGCACCTCTAAGGTTTGAATATTTTAAGTCACATACATGTAGAATTAATTTAGAGGTTGTTTTTCTTCAACCGATTAAATGGAGCCTTAGTTAGTTTGCTTCTACAACAAATTTCACATTTATGATTAGGATTAATTTCAAACTTTGGTATATAATCTAAATCAATTAATCTACGCAAAGCATCAAATTCACAATGTCCTAATACGATGCCATATAATTTGAACCAAGAAATAAACAAAAGATGTGTTATTCCTTATTCATAGCAACTTTCGGTACCAAGACTGTCATTACATATTCAACTGAGAGACCATCATTCATGTATCCCTTACAACATACATACCATCTTTGTTAATTACAGAATTTATCAGACTCAAATACAAGCTAAAACCATTATTTACTTAACAAAGACCCGAACTAAATTCTTCCGGAGTGTCAGGTACATGCAGTACGTTGTTGAGTGGTCAGTTCATTCCCTGATGTCATCTTCAAGATTATTTCCCTTGTCAGCCCAGTAGAGAGTAGAAGAACTTCCCATGAAGTTGTTCCCATTGCTGCCAATCATTCTAGGTAGTGAATCATCTTCTTGTCCGCACAATATGTGACGAAGTGCTCCAGTGTCAACTCCACTCTTTGGGATTGTCCAACCAAGTTAGCCTCAGACACCACATGCAGAGAGGTGATGTCATTCACATTCTGTCCAGAGAAGTGTATATCCATTCTATGTACACTTGGCCTGATTGGTGTTTTCTATACTTGTACTTCATGATTCTTCTAAGGGCGCGCAGTCAGAAGCTCGATGTCCAGTTTTGCCACAGTTATAAGCATTTTCCTTTGAACTCTTGCTACTATAGCAATTGTTTAGGACATCTCGCAGTAAACTTTCTCTTTTTGTTATGTGGGTTATGTAACTTGTCAACACATTTTGTCCTTGGACTCATGGGATTTTTCCATTCCTCTTTTCAGCCTTTTCGGTTAGTCTTCTATCATTCTTAATTTAAATCATTCTTCATAGCATCTCTTTGCGTTTATAGTTTAAATAATTATTGAATCTTTCCAAGCGGTGGTAACTTTTTCACTCAGCAGGGCGACTTGGAATGACTTTCGCTAAGTGACATACTTTGTACACTGCATATCATGGCAAAATTATTTGAAACTTTGAACTCTGAGATATTAACAGGTTTGGGAGTTACCATATATCGCAGAAATTTACCATGACGACAAATTTCTTCGTGCGCTATCTTTGTCTTGTATTTCTTCTCCCAGAATCCCAGCAATTATATTTGCTGTTTTCAGAGGATACTGTATACATTATACAGCATATGTCAAGCTTTAGGATGGTAAAGTTTTGCACAGGAAATTCCTGAATGTTTACAACGCTCTAGCGGCCACAACTTGCGATCACTTATACTCCTTGTAAGTGCTGGAGCTCTTCATGGAGAAACCGGGCAAATTAAGAGTTTGGTAGATATGAACATGCACTCTTCTGCTGCATTTCTTTAAAATCGGTACCGTTATTTTTTCGATTTTTCTCCGATTAATGTGGTACAGATGAAAACATGGTTTTGGATAGGACGGACTGTAGGTGTAGACAATAGAGTATACCACTTGCAGGAATGCATATTCAGTTGTAGTAAGCCATAATTCTGATTCAAAAATCGAAAAATTACATCACAATTAATTTTTCTAGTTATAAAACCAGAAAATATTTATACAACAAAATAATTTATTTTTCCTTGTTATAACATAAGAAAAATAAATATATCACGAATTTTCTGTAATACAAATCCATATTTACTGAATTTGTTAATTGACACAGTATCATACTACTAGTGTTGTCAAGAAAAAAGAACAGTATATTATACTATTGTCCTAAACTAGCATAAATCACATATTTGTTTTTTCCAACAAGAATATTAATTTGAAAACACAGAATAATTAAATACATGAAGATACCCAACAGGATATGTCTTAGATTGTTAGAAACATATTCTCACTGTAATTTAAAAGATTTAATGCTCTATTGTGTAACACAACAATTAGAATTTAAGAATAAAGCAAAGGAGCAGAATTGTTTGATTTAAATCAACTCGAAATAGAAAATAAATAAATAAAAACAGATTTTATTTTTGTATACAAAACAATTAAAATCTGATTTAATAAATAAAAACAAACTGAAAATAGAATTAAATCTTACTTGTTGATTAATTTTCTTCGAGTTATTTTCTGATAGATCCAATCGTGTTTAACGTGTCTTAAGACAGATTCGTCCTCATTCAGTGCTTTCAGAATTCGGACGTCTATCTCCCAGGTAAATGAAATGATCTAACCCACAACAATAATGCAGCACTGAACTAATGTTTGCCTTTACGAACACACTAAGTATTTACAACATCTTTCTATTCGGAATAAATGCAGCAAGATGAAGAATATAAATAGAGAGTGAACTACGAAATTTCTGAAATGGAACAATCAATGAGGAGTGGTCCTATGTTTATAGATGTGAAGGTGGCTCTTGGTTTTGAATTGATACAGTTTGTGGTCTTGTTTGATTGAACAGGTATGATACTGTTGGGGTTCTGAATTTAAAACAGATTCAACATGTTAAACAGATGCAATTACGGGAAGGTGCCTGTTTGGTGTGACTAATTCCAAAATCAGTTTAATTCTTGTTTGAAAACAAGGAAGGCCTGTTTGGATGAACAAAAAATTCAAACCAATTTATTTGAATTTTGGATTTTATTTAAATAAAAAACTAAAATTAATTAATATGTTTTAGGCCAAAAGATTAGAAGCCCACCAACCACACAGCCCACGCACCCTTTTCCCATAACCTCTTCCCTCTAAACACTTGGGTACCAACTTGGGCACACCCCAAGTTTCACCTAAGCCTTATACCCTCAAACTTGCCCACAAATCAATGTGGGACAGCCAATGTTATCAGACCTAAGGAATTTTCAACAAAACTCCATTTCCATGAGCAACTTTGGCTTCAATTTCGCTTCACATCGGTAATGGTTTTGATCACCAAATATACCACGTGAATCACAACGCCGGCATAGAACGCGTTACCACTTTGACCCGAGTAAATGACACTCGGGCCCACCGTAAAAAATAGACGAACTTAGGAAAAATTCTGATTGTATCCAGAATTTCATAACCATTTCCAACAGCCGCCACCAAGCCACGACCCCTGCCGCCGCGGCCACCACCACCGTGAGCTTTCTACCATGAAAAGGCGTTGAACCAGCTTCAACAGGTTTGGTGGTAACTAAAATCAAGAACATGACAAGGACCATCATCTTAGCAACCTTGGACACAGCTTTCGGAAAGAAGTAATCCATTGTTCTCTCGACTTGAAGAAATGAATGATGATTTTGAAAGATGATCAAGGAGAGGACAAATTGTGAAAGCCTTCTGTTTTTTATGAAAGTAGTGGTGTTGTAAATGAGAATTGTTAAGAGGGTAATGAGTCAGTTCACATATATATAGGCGAGGACCAAATGTTTGTCCTCACACTCATCTATTGCATCTCGTCATGCCACTTTTTCATGAATCAATCAAGAGAAGATGCCCTCCTTCATCTCTCTCCCTAATTTCTTTTTTACTAGTTTATTGGACTCACTTTTGGCTCTAATTTTGATAATTCGAACCATTTACATTTTAAGATTTGTTAAGTATATCATATCTGTAAAAAATCAAATTGATCGAATATCAAAAATCACTACAAGAAAAAGAGGATATCACCACGTTTTTTTTTCTGACGTTTTTGAAAAACGTCGTAAAATCTCCTATACTTTTTCCATTTTGAACAAATTACTCATCTCGTTTTGTACGCCAATATTAAAAAAATTGTGAAATAACATTTACTTGTGATTGAAGAGGCGGGACTTCTCTGATCAAAAGAGAGGCGTGCCTTTAGAGAACACAGCGTTACTTTTGAGAAAGAGAGAGAGAGGCAAAGAGAGAAATCAAGGCCTTGGATCTTCGATCTCCATTGATTCTTCGGTTGTATAATCTGGAAATGCTTGTTCTGCACTTGATTTGAGCATTTGTCTGTGATATCGTTTGAATCCCTCTTATGTAAGTCGATCTAGGGCTCAAGGTTAGAGTTTTTTGATATGGATTTGCTATATTCACATAAGGTCTGTAGACTTTCATGGCTTAAACTAACGATTTATAGATGATTTCTAATTTCTTTTCTTCTGTTTTTCATTTTCTCTTTTCAAATCGATTTTTCTAGGGTTTTGAGTGCCGTGTTAATGTCTCTGATCACGTACAGAATAGCAAGTAGCGTTGGATCTGGATCGTTACCAACAGTAAGTCGAAGCAAGCTCAACGACGTAGAGATGTAGATCTTATTCTCAGATCTGCTCTCTATCCAATCAGATCTGCTCTCTTTGTCTCTCTGATCTGCTATTATGGTAATATCAAATCTACTTTCTCAATCTCTCCGATCGAATTTCACATATTCTCTTCATTGCTCTATGAGATTTGGACCTCTGTCTCTCTGTTTTTGATTGAAGCTCATTATCTTTGTCACTCTATTACATTTTCCTTATAGAAAATGTCAAAACAGTATAGAAATAGAACGATTGGTGAGTGAGTTTGAAACTTCTTTATCTATTTGAACACTATACTAGTTCATCACTTTTCAATTTTTACTTTAACTTGTTATGTTTTAATAATTTTCAATTAATTTTTAAAACGTAAGGAAATAGAACGATTACATTGAATTTATATTAAAATTTAAAATTTTAATTAGAAATTTGTAATTTACTCTGATCAAAATTTGACGGTGAAATTTGTAATTTACTCAGGAAAAAAAGAAATTGGACCAAAGTATAAAAAAAGAAGAAGAAGAGGTTTGCATTACATGTTTTTTTTTATTATTTTTATTTTTTATGATTGTGTGATTCTGATTCATCACACTTAAAAGAACTTGCAATTTCATTGGTTTTTATGTAAAATACTTGGTCATGACCATGGGTTGTACATTCTTATTCATTTCGCTTTGCATGTGTTTGGGTTTTGGTCTAACTGAAGCAGTTCCTGCAAATATTAGAAGACAAAGTACTATTGAATATTGATTACTATTGTGATTTGTATTTTAATACCTTGTACCTTGTTTTATTTCATTATTTTAACACATTTTCTGTTTTTGGTACCACTTAACCTTGCAAGTGAGGTCTTCAAACTATGAAAATTCAGTTTGTGGCAGCTCACTCAACAAGGACACGTGACCTTGTAATTGCATGACATTTTTTAGAATTGTTTCTCTCTCTCTGTTTTTGACTTAGTGTTTATTTTCAAAAAGCAATGTTTTAACTTTTAGACCAATCCATACAGAGGCATTGTGGCAAGGGTTTGAGAAGTGTGCTTTTATATTGTTCAAGAAAAAAAAAGGAAGAATAAGAAAGGAAAAATAAAAAAGGTGTATTTTTGCCCATTCAATTGAACGATTTAGTCCCTGTTTGTTTGTATTGTTCTTAAGAAGGAAGGGGAAAGTGTATGGAGTGGCTGTAAATTGGAGAGAAGATTTCACAATTTTAGAACTTTTTTGCTTCTCCAAAATTGGGAGGATAGGCATTGTTTGGTTGTGTTTTCATTTTTTGTATTCTATTTACCACTTGAGCATTTTTTGCTTCACCTCCCATTTTTGGCCACCACCTCTGACCACCCTCATCAGCAATCCCCCTTTGAACACTTCTGGCCGCCTGCCAGAAATCACATCCAACGAGTCCTGAGAACCTCTAATGTTCCAAAGGGTTGGTAAACAAAAAATTCCCATCAGGCTGGACCTCTAGGTAGACTGCCTAATCAACCATCCATTGGTTTGATTAACTACTGTGGCTCACCTATTATTCAGGTGGACAGAGGAGGTACCCAATTCACTACTGTGGCTCACCTATTATTCAGATTTATAAAACTTGTAAAATTTACTTTTAAAAAATCTAATCCATCTATATATTTTGGAATTCTCAACTTATCTGTTGTTACAATAGCTGTACTTATTGTATCTGTACACAAATATTAGATTGTAAAATTGTTTTTCAAATGTGTGAGAAATTAAATTCTATTTAGAATACAAGGCTGATTGAGTTACCATTTTGTCCGCAATATGTTGTCGTGATATACATGAAATGGGTTGTTTGGACATTTTTGAGTTCTTGTACTACTAACACATTTGATTTACATATTACATCAGCCAAGTAAAATTTGTTATGTGTATAAAATGTTTATTGTGCAACCTTACAGAACCATTCAACTACGAGGCAGGAAAACGACACGAAGAACTGCCCATATTACATCTCAATCCTTATAGCTGGTCCAAGGTT